ATAAAGAAGGCACACAAACAGGACATGTGGGAGAGATAATACAAAGAAAAACAAAAGCTGACAAAGTTAACAAAAAGGTGATCAAGATGGCAACACGTGGTATCATTAAAGAGAAAAAAAAAAGAGGTAGTCATTTTGGGAAAAATAAAGGCCTTTATGGGAAAATTATTGAGCAAGAAGGCATAGCAGCTATGGCAGTGAAATCAGTAAAGGCTATTGGGTTAAATGTTTTGGGCTCCCTTCAATCCAAATGTAATAGGCCATATGTGGGTTCTACTCATTTACTTGATAATCTTGGCCCAAAAGAGCTAAGGTCTCAAGGAGCAAGCTGTGATGTACATGTAGTAGATGGCATCGATAAAGAAATTCAACTTCTCGGTGAACCTTCAAATGAGATAGATCATGGAAATAGAGGAACAAATGAAGATGAAGCATGAAAGGCACCTTCAAATGAGATAGATCATGAAAATAGAGGAACAAATGAAGATGAAGCATGAAAGGAAAAAGACAGCTCAGACATGGAAGGTTTTGAAGAAACACCGAGTAAAGAAGAGAGATTTGGAAACATCCGATAATTGATTTTAATGTTTAATCAAATTACAAATAGGATAATGATTTAGAACTGTCATAGAGCAACAAGCAAGGAATTTCATAGAGTGTGCAAGAAATTTGTGAAAGATAAGAGCCTAGATATTGTAGTGATTCTGGAGACGTGTTTGAAGCCTCTCAAACTAGAAAGAACCTTCAACAAATTAGGGTTTGACAGACTGGTAGGCTCAAAAGTTAGAGGCTTTTCATGAGGGATAACTATGGTTTGGAAAGCTGATAGAGTAAAAATGGAAGTTTTACAAAAGCACTTTCAGTTTCTTCACATGAAAATTAAGTTCGAGGGAGAGGAAAAGAATTATCTCGTTGTTGCACCCCAAAATTTTCCCTCTCGTTTCTAACCCTAACTAGCTTTCACTTCGCATTCGTCTGCATTTCCATTAGGTCATAGCAATCAATCATGCATTGCATTGAATGCTTGATACATGGGATCACATTGTTTTTATGGCTCAAAACTTCTTTTTATTTCATGTTTTTAAGAAGCAAGCATCAGAGGCTCTGACATTTATTTTGCTCAGTGATTTGGTACTGGATCATATTTTTTCCAGTAGAATATTTTGAGTGCAAAAGGGAGTTCACAACTTATTTCAGGCAAGATTCAGTTGCAATATCAAATGACAAGTTTTAGAGGCAGAACAAGGCTCAGAACAAGTGGCAACAGGTGATTTTGCAAGCTTTCCCACCAAAAGGCGCCAAAATTTAAATTTTGAATACGTTAATCGATTAACCAATTTTGCCTATAAAATGGTTAATCGATTAACCTATGTGATTTTTCCCAGAAAGTTCAATTTTCAGCACTGCAGCAGTTGCAATTTCATTTTAATCGCTTGGGTTCACATTTGCATCAGTAGAAGAATCTAGAATGCTTCCAAATTTTGGTTCATTTCCAAATTAACTTCACTTTCCCTCCATAATTCAAATAATTTCCACTCCTAATTCTAGACCAAAAATCCAAACTCACACTCTAAACCTCATTTATACTCCAAACCTAAAGTTTATTTAAGTGAATTTGCTCTAAACCTCAAAAACTTCACTCACTTTTTTATGATTTCTCTACACTTCACATTCCAATTCTCTCAATTCTCTCTCACCTTTTCACTCTCCATTTTCATCTTCAACCTTTACCAAAGCTTTTTCCATTAGAATTCTCAAATTCTTCATTGGAATTTGTTAATTTTAGACCTAAGCCTCCATCATTTCTTCTCATCAACACCAATTATAAAGTTGAAGTGTTTTTGGATCTAGATATAAGCTTTGGAAGTGCTTTCTTGAAGTGATTTTTGGAGTAATTTCGGTTTTTTTTTGTTTTCATGCGGATCTTCAATTTTCTTGCTAGGAGCTCATTGGATCTTGGATTTCTTTGCTTGATCGGTCAACTTCTGGTTGCAACACTTACCAAAGCAATTCTCTGCTTTGTAGGTTGATGATTCTTAGATCCAAACTCATTATAGCTTATTTTACAACTTTCACAATGTAGATCCATTGATTTTTTATGTGAGTTCATCCATTGATTGATTTAATTATTGATCTTGATGTTTGATGGATTTAATTGGTGTTTGATTGTTGTTATTTGATGTAATTTTTGTGTACAATTGCATGCCTTAACATGTGGATCATTGGAAAAGTGATTTGTTGCTAAAAGTGCTTTTGAAAAGCTGATTTTCTGCTTCTTGTGCAGTGTTAATCGATTAACCAGTTTGCAGGCTAAACTAGTTAATCAATTAACCATGTTATTTTATGTGTTTTTGCTAATTTTGAAAGTGGTTAATCGATTAACACTGATGCAGAATGTGATTTTTGTGCTTTTTCAAGCTTGTTTTGTTTTCTTTCCATTTTTAAGCTTCATTGATTGATATGATACATATTAGTGGAATTTTCTTGTGCTATTTCACTCTATTTTACAGCACGTATGCGATTCTTCGACACCCGATGCATTAATTTTCGTGATGCATGTTCATGACTAGTTGTGATGCATTCTTGATGCATTCTACATGTTGTTTGTTTGTTCATACTTACTTGTTTGCTCTTGATGCTTATCTTGCTTGATTAATGATACATGTTTATGTTTGATTTCGATTTTGCAAATGCGTGTTCGTTTGAGATGATTAATTGTTGATGAATATGCATGTTGTTCTTGTCAAATGCTTAAGTGTGAAATTTTGTTGAAATTTGTTCATGCTTAATTGTCTATACATGTTCATCAATTGATCTTACTTGATACGTGTTCATACTTGATCCTTGAAATTCATGTACACTTGTTTAAATGTGGAGTTGTGCTTTGATTCAATCCTTTTGACGCATGTTTATGTTTAGTTGTTGGACATGTTCATTGTTAATTGTTTGATCTTTGATGCATGCTTAACTTGATGTTATGATGCCACATGTTCATTTATGCTTGGTGCTTGTTTGATGCCTATGCACATGTTGTTGTATACACTACTGTTATGTGGAATATATGATGTTAAATGCATTTATTCTATTTTGCCACATTTACACCTGTTCTGCTATGAAAATACATGTTGTTAAATGTTGTCCTGTTGTTGCTAGAATTTACTGTTGTGCTGAGCTGAAGCGCTGTTGGTGATGTTTTTGGTGCATTTTCTTTGTTTTGGTTTGTTCTTGCATGTTCCCTTAAGGCCTCCTAGTCCAACTTAATTTTTTTATTAATCTTGGAGTAGGATAGACATTAGGCGTTAATCCTTTGCATGACAACATTAGGATAATTTCTCTAAGCTCAACCTTAAGTCCACTTTTTCATGATAACATTAGGTAGACTTTCCTCTCTCATCCTCAACTATAGGATTATTCGGCATGATAACATCTAGGTGAGTTTCCCTTATATTTTTCTTTTTCCTTTGAGTCTTATCTTCTCTCTCTTAAACACAATCAAAACACCTAGTAAAATACGATGTGTATAGTGCATCACGAGTCTTAAGCACATGGGAGAAGATGAGCGGATGCATTTCTAACCTCATATTAGGGTACTTTGCGCGTGAGACGTTTGGATCGTGAGCGTGGAGTATTCGATCCTATGTCACAGACTTTAGTGCAATATACATCTCAAACAAAGTTAATCCACTTCTTTAAAACTCTTAAATAAAGTTCAAATCATTTTGTCTTTCCCATTGCACGAGGGAATATGTAGGCCTAGGACGGCAAAGCCCTATCGAATCTCCTTTTTGTTTTTCTCTCTTTCTTTTTCGTTTTCCGTTAGCAAGTAGGCTTTAGATAAACACACCCTTTGATTAGAACAAAAAGAGTGGATCCCGTTGAGTACAACGAACGTGAGGGGGTGCTAATACCTTCCTCTCGCATAATCGACTCCCGAACCTAAGATTTGGTTGTGAGACCATGTTCCTTTCCTTTTTTGAGGTTTCTTCAATCGTTTCCTTTACCCTGTTAGGATAAATAACGTTCGGTGGCGACTCTGCTTTTCCGCCGGTTGTTTTTCGTGTTGTGACAATCACACCCGTTTATGCTTGCCCCGTAAAGAATGGATGTAAGGAGTTATGGCAAGAGTTATATAATTTATCTTAGCACATTCATCAGATTGGATGCTTGGGGAGACTTTAATGAGATGATTCAAGATTTTGAGAAAAAAGGAGGAGTTCCTACATCACTTAGAAAGTGTGGAATCTTTAGAGAGAGAATTGACAGTTTTAACTTGATGGATTTAGGATTCGTAGGCCATAGATTCACTTGGAGAGGTCCTATTGTCCATGGAGGTGGAAGATTCTATGAGTGTTTATACATAGATCTTTGTAATTACACTTGGAGGTTACAACTTCCGGATGCTTACATAAAAGTTCTACCTATGGTGGAATTTTTTTATCACCACCCCATAGTGATTCACCTCCAAGAGTTGACTACTATTGAGGAAAAAAGAAGATTTTATTTCAAAAGTGCACGGTTGTTAGAAGATAGCTACAATGATTTGATGCAAGAGTCATGGAAGAATGATAAGCATGCCTTGGACAATCTGAAGCAATTTAAAGAGAAAGTGACATATTGGAAAAATCTCATGACAAACTCTATTGAGAGACAAAAGAAATATCTGCTTAGAAGAATCAGTGGAATTCAAAGGTCATCTATGAAGGGAGAATTCATGAAGGATTTTACTAAATGGAGAATAGGCTGCAGAAGGAACTTTCTAAAGTGATGCATCAGGAAGAAGTTCAGTGGTTTCAAAGGCCAAGGAAAAGTGGCTCATGGAGGGTGACAAGAACACTCGATACTACCACATCTAATATGTGCAAAGAAAAATAAGCAACAAGATCCAAATGATATAAGACGAGGAAGGAAACTGGATAGAGGACCCACTTAAGGTGAGTATGATTTTCAAGAACTTCTACCAAAAGTTGTTCACTGAAAATACTAAAATAGACGTTTAGAAAATGTCGAAAGTCACATATCCCAAACTCGATTTCAGCTTTAAAAGTAACTTAAGTGCTAACTTGAATAGTGAAGAGATCAAACATGACAAGTTCGATATGTGCCCTAGGAAGGCCCATGGGCTTGACGAATTCCCAGCAACCTTCTACCAAAAATCTTGGTCTTACGTTAGAGATAGTATATGCGGGTACATTTATAAAATGTGGAATGATCCCAGCCACAATCAAAAAGTGAATTCTACTGAGATTTGTCTTATACCAAAAGTTCCTCATCCTACTCAAGTGCAATAATTCAGACCAATCTCACTTTGTAACACTATCTATAAGTGTTTCAGTAAGATAATCGTGAACAAGATGAAGTAGTACATAGATAAGATGGTTAGGCCTTATTAGACTAGTTTCATACTGTTTACTATTAAATTTGGTAAACAAGTACACGTTTCTATTAACACTTAAAGGGTCAAACTCGAAAATCTTCCGAACATGCTTGTGTGTCTATCACTTGTGAAAACTCATAACGTTGTCAAAAATGTTTAAAATGTTGGTTGTAATTACTTGGAAAATAAAGAAAATGTTCAGAAAACTAAATGCTGAAATAAAAATGAAGAAAAGACTTTTGAAGTCGAAATACAAAAATGCAAGGAAGGAATACAAGGTTGAAATTAAAGTGCGAGTAATGTAAATTGGAAAGAAAAGTAAAAGAAATCGAAAAAACTTTAATGAATAAAAATACGTTTAAAGTAAAACTGTTGGAAATGTATAAAAAAGTGAAACGTATGCGTACATCTTTCCTCACTCATTTCTCAAGACGCGGGTACTTTGAGTTTATAGAAATGTGTACAATTTGTGAACCTCTTACAAAATTAACCTAAGTGTCCTTATATACTATTTTATGATAACTGTCTAAGAATGGTGGACTACTCCCATGGTGACATGTCCTACACCCCTGCAGCGGTTTCCCGCGACTTGCTCCCATGTTCCTCTAAATAATTGTCGATGCTGACGCAGCTTCCGCTTTCTGATATCATATGAATTTCCTAACTACTCTTCTAGGAACCAAGAACTGACTATCCTCGTCAAAGCCTTCGAATTCGACTATGTCAAGACAACATGATTCATCATATTATCCATTGTAGTGATGAACTCCATATGTATCATCCAAGTCAACATTATTTCTATTATAGTGATGGACTCCACGTCTGGTGGCTGAGTCGATATTACTTCCATTGTAGTGATAAACTCCAACCTTAGTCAATATAGCATATTATTCAATTTCACTAAGTCCCTAAGTTCTTCACCGCCTCTTTCGACCTTGCCACCTTTGACGAATATTACCTTATGTGATCTCTGACCTTAAGTTGTATTGATCATATTGTTGCACCCTAAAATTTGACCAACTTATTTTACCTGATTTGTGTTTTCATAGCTTTATCATTTGCATAGTAGGTCATATACATAGTTCATTCATCTGCATAGCATAGCATGGGCAAGTCATCCAACAAGGGATCAAGTGCTATTTTTCATCTCAAGGAGTGTATTCAAAAGGTTCTTATCAAGATTCAAGCCTATTCAAGTCACCAAGAAAGAAATTGAAGCTTTGAGAAGTTAAAAGGCCAAGCAGTGGGTTTCTCTCCTGTCTAGGGAGTATTTGAAGATCATCATAGAGGTTGTGAGCCATGAACTGGGGCATGGAATGTGTAGATACATCATGGAAGACCTAGAGGGTCATTTTGAAAGTAATACAAGTCATTGGTGTGGTGACCAGAACTACAGTTGAAGACAGTCAACTAGGGTCTCATCTGGGTCAACCCTAGGTCTAATGCTTGATTGGAAGGCATCAAGGCCCATTTAAAGGATGTGGGATTCATCATTTGATATGTGGATATGGATATGGTGTTGTGCCAAGAAGAAATCAAGAGAAATCAAGAAGAAGAGAAGTTTCCAAATTAGGGTTTCTGAGTAAAACTCCCTGATTTAGGTCAAACTTCCAAGCAAGATAATTCAAAATGCAAGTCTCAAATGGATCCTTGGCCAACATGAAACTTTTAGAGCATCTCAAGAACTTTAATTTGAGTGGTGGAAGGCATCAAGGAGGTTTATAAAACTCAAGTTATGGTTCTTGCAAGTTACAGGTCATCTGAGGACACTGAAATTTATCTATGAAAGTTACTTGACTTCCAAGCAACTTTTACCCCATAAGGAATTTTCAAATGGATTTTTGTCCAACATGAAAGTTGTTCCTCATGATCTTAGCTTTCTATAAAGGTATGGTATGCCTCAATATGAGTTGTGGAGCTCTACTTATGATCTTGACAAGCCAAGGGCATTTTGGTCATTTGGAGGTTATAGGTCATTTCAAGCATAAGGCCATATCTCCTATTTCCAAGCTTCAAATGGAAAAATATTCAACATGAAACTTGCTTAGAATGATGTTTTAAGGCTAGTAAGGAGGTCATGAGATGTTGAAAAGGCTTGTATCAAAAAGTGATAAAAATGGCCTAAAATGGAGGCATAAGTTAATTAAAGTGAAATTTAAAACTGGAAATCACAAGTTATAAGTCCAAACCATGTCATGTAATAGGTCATTTTGACTCCATATGACATTCTAAGAACAATGGTTCATCCACAATTTTGATTTGAGGCTTGGATCATAGGGCTGCTTTGGAAAAGGCTTACTTGCATATTAAGGTACCAAAGCAAAACTCAACAAAACTCAATAAACAAGGTAGTTAGGCATTGTAACTCATCCTAAATCTCATGTGGGGAGAATTTCAAATCAGAAACAAAGGATACAAGAAGCTTGGCATGAGATAGCATGAAAAAGGAAATTGCAGAATTTGTGTATGCTTGTTTGACTTGTCAGAAGTTGAAGATTGAACATCAGAGACCGTCAGGTCTAATGCAACCGTTGAGTATTCCAGAATGGAAATGGGATATCATTTTTATTGATTTCGTGACCGGTTTACCGAAGATTTTGAAGGGATATGATTCGATCTGGGTGATTGTCGATTGATTGACTAAATCAGCTCATTTTGTACCGATGAGGATTAATTATTCGTTGCAGAAGGTTGCCGAAGTTTATATTGATTAGATTGTGAAGTTGCATGGTGTTCCGTCGAGTATTGTGTCGGATAGAGATCTGAGGTTTACATCGAGGATTTGGGAGAGTTTTCAGACAACCTTGGGTACTAAGTTGAGGTTGAGTTCTACCTATCATCCACAGACGGATGGACAGACAGAGAGAACTATTCAGTCTTTAGAGGATTTGTTGAGAGCTTGTATGTTGGATCAAGGTGGATCGTGGGATAGTCATTTGTCGTTGGTTGAGTTTACCTACAATAATAGTTATCATTCTAGTATCGGAATGGCACCGTATGAGGCTTTGTATGGTAGGTGGTTTAGGACTCTGTTGTGTTTGTATAAGTCAGGCGAGAGTGTTGTACTCGGACCTGAGATTGTGCAAGAGACGACTGAAAAGATCAAGATGATCCAAGAAAAGATGAAAGCGACGAAGAGTCTTCAGAAGAGTTACCATGATAAGAGGAGGAAAGCACTTGAATTCCAAGAGGGAGATCACGTGTTCTTGAGGGTTACATCAGTAACTGGTGTTGGCCGAGCTTTGATGTCTCAAAACCTCACATCGCTTTTTGTTGGTCCGAATCAGATTTCGCAGAGGGTGGTGGAAGTAGCATATCATATTGCTTTACTGTCGTCGCTTGCGAATTTGCATGACGTGTTTCATGTGTCGCAGTTGAGGAAGTACATTCTAGATCCGTCGCATGTGATTCAGATGGATGATGTACAAGTGCGAGATAATTTGACTGTTGAGGCGTTGCCTGTTCGGATTGATGAACGAGAAGTGAAGCAGCTGCGAGGTAAAGAGATTGTCTTGGTGAAGGTAGTTTCAGGAGGACCAGCTGGAGAAAGTTGGACTTTGGAGCGTGAAGATCAGATGAGGGAGCCGTATCCGACTATGTTTTCTTGAGGTAACTTTTGAGGACGAAAACTCTTTTAAGTAGGGGAGATTTGTAACACCCCAAATTTAATTGGAATATTTTATTTAATTGTTTAAATAAGAATATTCAGTTTTCGGTGATTTTTGGTAGTTTGTGGATTATTGGAAAAGTGTGCATTTTTGGGTTATTTATTTGATTAATAGTATATAATATTAATTTATTAGTATTATTATTATTATTTAAAATGAATATAAGTGAAATAAGGGTAATTTGGGTATTTGGAGGAGTTAGTAAGGGTAATAAGGAAAAAGCCCAAATTGTGAGGCCAAAGACTAGGTTTGACAAAATAGAATTCTGAAGGGAATTAGGATTCATTTGTTAACCGTGAAAAGTATTATGGCCAGAGAGCTCTGAGGAGAAGATTGGAGGCAGAAGATTCCGGAAGATAATCGTGAAGGCTTTGAATCGACTAAGGTATGTGGAGTATAGCTTTTCATGATTTTCCATGTGTGCCTTTCAATGTAATTATGGATGATTTTAGGTTTAAGGGATTTTGGGTCGATTGTGGGAAAAGGGGAAATTGATGGTGAGGACCCTGATGGTTGTGGTTAGTGGTAAATATTCCTGACTATTAAAGCATGGATATGAGAAATAGTGACCTTAGGCATTTGTGGCCAAAAACCTTGAATTGTTAAATGTCTAACTCTGTAGGGATAAATATTGGATAATGAGTAACTCTAATGCCTTAGGGTGTAATTGAAGGAAAAATTGTGATTTTGGACATGAACATGTTACGGGATTGGCCTAATCAACCGTAGGTTTTGTGCCTTTATCGTCGTAGGACCTTAGGGATGTTTTGGGGGCATTGGGTAAGTGAATCGTATGGGCATTTGAGTGGATTTAAGTTCTGGTGCATAGCAGATTTTGTTGTCATCGCACTGTTCGCCCAGTGAAGAAAGCCTCGCCTAACGAACCATGCTGTTCCCAGACTCGCCTAGCGAAGAAACTCGCCCCAGACTCGCCTAGCGAACATGCCAACGAATGCAGCAGAGTTTCCCGTATGTTGATCATGTGCAGCGATGCCTTGATATTTGATTCTGTGATTTCTGTGATGAGTTACCTTGGGGGTAACTATGATTTTTATGTGATTAACATATAATGTGTATATGATTACATGATGGTTTATATGATGTATTATGATGATATTACCATGACTTTGATGAATTATATGATGACATGAGACATGATAATGATTGTGATGATGATGACTATGATGAATGATGATGCACCTATGTTGTTATCATGAGGATGATTATTGACGCGTGCATCATGCAT